CGATGATTGGAGTTGAGTGAGTGATTGGCCCGGGGCCATAGTGAAATTAACGACGAATGCGCCTTTGTTGCGGATTGTTATCCTTGGCGTAAGTGGAAGGCTGGGACGCCGGATTTATCTCATTTCAGACCTTGTTGTCTTCTTTTTTGACTCTCTCTCTCTCTCTCTCTCTCTCTCTCTCTCTCTCTCTCTCATTCTCTCTCTCTCTCTCTCTCGCTCCTCTTGAATGATGATGTGTTTGAATGATTGTCCCGCTCTTGAATGGAAATGAGTCGGCATTCTGTGTGAAAGAACTTCTTCCGGAATTCTTCTATTAGCTTTCTGGGTAATTCTCCTACGCAAGGACCCTATCTTGTCTTGTGGACGGTGGATGCGTGTGTATTGAGTAATGCGATTCATTCTTTCTTGTGCATGTCTCATTTTCGCACCTTCCACAGTGAATGCATGTATGGAATGTGTGACTCTTTTGTTGATTAGACGATTGTCGTCGGGATTTTGTTCGAGAATGCAAGAGTGTTTAGATATGTAGCATTGTTTGCACTGCGCATGCCATCTGCCTTATGCTGCACGACATTAGCAACCGAGCCACGAGGCGGAAGGCCGGGTGCACGGGATTTCTGAAGTATCTCATTTTCCCAAGCCTGCTGAGTTACCGTGCATTCAAAAGAATTGCGACCACGTGATCGCCTGCCGTTATGCTCATTTGATCGCAAAATCAAGATCCGAACGGTCAGAATTCGCGTTTTCAAGTCTCCCTTGAGAGTGTGTGGTCTGATCATAAGAAAATCTCTTCAGAGGAGATGTTCATACTTTGACCTTTACTGGTTGCTTCCACTGAACTCGACAGAACGAGGTCAGAGAGTGGGATGAAGATCTGCACACACCACTTTGCTGTTTAATTTTTCCTCACCCATACGGCTCTCCCTCTCAGCACTCTTTCTCTCTCTCACTCCCACACTCTTTCTCGCTCTCTCTGATACTCTTTCTCTCTCTCTCACCCGCAGTCTTCTCTCTCTYTCTCGGTCTTCTCTCTCCCTCTCACACAGTCTTCTCTCTCTCTCACTTTCTCTCTCACACACAGTCTTCCCTCTCTCTCACTTTCTCTCTCACACACAGTCTTCTCTCTCTCTCACAGTCTTCTCTCTCCCKCTCACACAGTCTTCTCTCTTCCTCTCTCCGCTCGTTGACCTGCCTAGACGCATGCTGTATTCCGCTGTGTACACCTGGCRTGCTCCCTCCGGAACGGAGCTTTTTCGCGGTGTACACCACGTACACCTTCCCCCCCCTTTGTGGTCCGCTGGCCTCTACTATATCCTGGCCGCACTCTTGCCTGTGAGCCTTAGCGGACGCGGAACAATGACTCAATCTAGGCCAGGCTCGCAAGCCTGGGCCCGCCCAGGCAGCGGTACCAGAATTATACCTGGTCTRTTTCAAACCAGCGTACTGAGCCTGTTTCCAACCAGTGTCCCGAGCCTGATATACAGTGCCGCTACTTTTCCRGACCCGAAAACAATCTGCCGCCGAGGTCCCAAAACTGGAATATCTGTCAGAATAAATCAGCTCACCTGTCCGGAGTCTGAAAATACGTCGCCGTAGCGACACAGGTATCTACCGCACCCGAAGTACGTCAGTCGCGCGCCTGTCCATGTGTCCCCCGCACTCAGAACGTCTTAACAGTGGTCAGTGTTAGTGATCAAGCAAGCCAGGGAAAGCGACTCAGGAAATCTCAGCCGTCAGGGGTAGTAAAAAAAAACAAGCCCC